CAATCATGCTGGTTAAGAACTCACTCATCTTCCAGCTAATATTCCCACATTATTTGAATGCAGCATCAAACACGTTCACAAAGGGAAGGGGGACGTTTTGGGAATTCTTTGCCAAAAAGGAAAAAATAAAAATAAGTAACACTCTCTGAACCTCTTTCACTGCTGTTTTTTTAAAGCAAACTTGGTTCTATATAATGTGCTCTATTTGTTGAATAGATAGTGTTCTAATGTTAATGTAATGTTATCAATAGCACCTTTATAGGAAAAGGTTTTATTACAACTTTCTTATGTTTCTAGTTTTAGTCATCATATCATCAAAAATGTAAACATTTACTCATTTAATTTCATTCATTGTATATGTAATTTGATAACTTTATTTAATTATATTACTCAGCAGAAAAAGTCAGAACTTTTAAAGACCATGCAGCAAACGCCAGTTCTGAAAAGTGAAGCCAATGCTGAAGTATCTTAAACTTGCATTCTCTTTAATGGCCAGCAGGGGGCGACTCCTCTGGTTTCAAAAAGAAGTCCAATTGTATAGAAGTCTATGAGAAAATGACTCTACTTCTCTCTTGATTTATTACCTCAGTAAACATTGTAAACATGAGTTTATGGTCTCAATCTCTAGTTTCAAGTCTTCTTCAGTACAGCATGATGTTCATTTAGTAAATTATGGTCCATTTAGGGTCAAATAGACCATAAAGCAGAGTATGCTTTAGGGCGGGGTTACTGTGATTAACAGGTTGCTGCCGCAACCAGAGCCGTGTATGGCGTCTCTACGTCACTCCTCCACAGTCCAAATATGGTTACTTCTGTTCACTGGTTGCAAAAAGCCAAGATGGCAATGGCCAGAATCAAAGATGGCAACGGACAAATTTGCCAAACTCAAGGCTTCAAAACGGCAGTCCACAAACCAATGGGTGACGCCATGAAGACTACGTCCACTTCTTATAGACAGTCACAAAAAGTTACACTACTTTATAATACTTGTGACTGAGCATCAGTCAAAATCAAATGCCTTGCAACAACTCCAGAGCTGCCATGGTTTATCAAGCACATGAGAACAAGGTGATTGATGAATGTGGGCTGTCCAGCTAGCGAGACACAACATGTATTCCTCCTCTTTTGGCAAAGGCAAGTTGCCGACCTAAAACCTCAAGCCCCTACATCAAGCTTACATGTCCGGATCAGTCTGTCCAATGAAGACACAATTGTGATATAACAATCGCAACCAACCCCTGACAAGACAGCAAACAAGCCCATGCTCCGAATCGTCCAAGCAATAAAATGTTCCCGTGAATTCCAAATGTTCATTCCAGTCTGGCCCGGTCAGACCAGACGGCGGCACAGCAAAAAAATGTCTAAAGACATACGTGGTGGTGGAAACTCGACATAGTGACATTTTAGGCTCGTAAAGAATGAAGTGCATATAATTTCACAAATGCAGAGACAAGTAAAGAGGTAGATGGACAGATATCCAGTGTGTTTGAGGCCTCCGCCCCAGGCAGCAGGCAGGCAGAGGGGCAGGAGGTCCTCATCTAATAACCCCGAGCTGTCAGTCACTTTATGGATGGGCGAGGGCTCCACATTAGTGCAGCTCAATAAGGATTGACTGTGGTGGGAGACCACAGTGCGAGACGGAGCAGAGGAGGGAGGAGGACGGGCTGACAGACAGAGTGGGATAAATGGAGATGGACAGAAAAAGCTGACCACCTAGGGAGAAGCAGAGTGAGAAAATGTGTCAAATGCAGAAAGGAAAGAGACAAGAGGATGAGAAAGAGAGAGGTAGACTGGGATTGAGACTGACTCTGCAGTATTGTCTCTCTGTTTATCGACTGTCTCGAAGGGGGTGTTAGAAAATGTAGGTGAAGAAAAGTTGACATTGGTTAGATATTTTGTGTTCCTGTTGAAAGGACATTGCTTCTCGTCTTTTCTGAAGAAAACAGATGGCTAGACATGATTATTTTTGCATTGGGCTTTCATGCAGTATCAACCTTTATTCATGACTAACTTCTTTGCTTAATGACACACTGCAATCCAGCACATTTCCTACAAAATCGAACCCAGAGCAGACGCCGCTTGAGTCTACAAAAGATCTCATCTCATTTGTAGACAGTGAGTTTGACATATTATAGTTGTATGTTCTGTCAAGCAAGACGGAGGGAGGCAGCTGGTAGAGGTGCCGCTGCTCCAAGTAAATCTTGAGTTAAGCTAAAAGAGCTACACGGCTGTGGGTTAGGGTGACATTATTTTACTGGCTGTGATCCACTTTGGGTCGCAGAGGATCGAGAGTTCCAAGAAAGTTATTTTTGAATTCTGCCCAAGCTCCACTCAACGCTTTGTAGCACAAAAAGACGTAAATAACGTTTAAAGTTGTTCTGAAACAACTTAACATCCCTAACTTTGTGTCTCATTACTTAGACGAATACAATAAGAGCGGATATAAATCAACGCTTGCACGTGATTGAGGTTACAAGGTTATTTTTGAGCAACCTGGTTTGGGCAGAAGGGGTGAGTCCATGCCCCGGGTCAGGAAGGAAGGTCCCGAGCCGAGGCGTGGGGAGTGGAAAACCTTTGTTATACTCCCAAATGGACACCCAACACAACAAATTGTCGGTATGTGGCGGTCCGTACACACCCTCTGATGACAAAAATTTGACATCACAGAGTCACAAGCGTACTCGCAGAAGCAAAATGTATAACTTCTGCTTAAAGCAGGTCCCTGGAGCCTTTGTCCTTGGTGCCAGTGCAACAGAGGGAGCCTCGAACGTGGAGCGAAATAGTGACGTGGCAATGTCTCCAGTGCAATACCTTGCAGTGAAAAAGAGACGCCGTCTAAAACATGTCACTTGAAATACTACAATCCGAAGCCCGCCTGGATCTTCCCAGAAAGAAGGAGACAAGCTGCATTTTTCTAACTATAGCAGGAAGTTATATTGACTAAGCTGGTGAGTGTCTTCGCAACTAAATTCTCACCTGACTTTGATTTAGAGCTGTCAAAAGACAGACACAAGACTTGGTTATTACCTCAGTAAACATTGTAAACATGAGTTCATGGTCTCAATCTCTAGTTTCAAGACTTCTTCAATACAGCATGATGTTCATTTCGTAAATTATGGTCCATTTAGAGTCAAATAGACCATAAAGCAGAGTATGTTTTAGGGCAGGCTTACTGTGATTGACAGGTTGCTGCCGCTACCAGAGCCGTATACGGCGTCTCTACATCACTCCTCCACATTCCAAATATGGTAACTTCTGTTCATCGATTGCAAAAAAGCCAAGATGGTGACGCCTATAATCCAAGATGGCAACTGCGAAATTGCTGAACTCGAAGCTTCATGTTGGCAGTCCACAAACCAATGGGTGACGTCCTGATGACAACGTCCACTTCTTATAGACAGACGATGAAGCAGCCGAGCCGCGCTGCTCACGCAGGCGGTGTGAGCATTGCAACTTTAAGGGGAAAGAGATGTGATGGGAGTGAAAAATTGTTTTCCAGTGTTGCCAACATGGCCTTGGTCTGTGTCTGTCTGAGCAGTTAGACACTCTGAGAACAAAATACATACGATAACAAGCTCACCATGGAAATCAGTGCGGATTAAAACGCACTGAACACAGGTGCAGATAGACAAACAGGCCCGACAGGACTGAGAGGAAGGCCAGACGTGTGTGTGTGTGTGTGTGTGTATGTGTGTGTGTGTGTGTCTGGGTGAGCTCTGGTCTCTGTGGGGCTGAAGAGGGGAATGAGGTCATCGAGTGGTAGCAAACAAATGTGCCAACATGCAGACGCCGGTGGTCGATAGCTGTTAACGTAGGTTTTGTTTACTGCACGGGGTTCATGTCAGGTAAAACACACACACACACACACACAAGCTCACGCACAGCTGATGAATTATGTAACACGTGAGCTTTGAGAACAGAGAGGAGGCTCCCCTCTGGAGAGATTTCTCCATATCTGCAGTCGTTGACCACACTAATAATAACAGCAGGTTACAGCAACAGATAAGCAAGTGTGTGTGTGTGTGTGTGCGTGCGTGTGTGTAAGGATTTTAAGTGCATTAATCAAATTCTTAGCCACGCCATGCAGCACACACACCCCCACACACACACTGCGTGCCAGCCCCACACGGCCCTATGCTCAGTTTAATCACCCTATAGCAAACAACAGAGAGCAACCACTCAAATGTGAATCTGTCAGTGACTCAGTGCGGTTTCTCCATAAGCTCACAGAGTGAGATGTCTGTCTCAGAGACGGCGTCTTCCTCAGAATGAAGGTTCTGTCTGCCTGTGGTCGTCCACGCGATTGAGCGCGCTTCAGTCAAATCGCTTTGACGGATCAGGAGGCGGGTGGAGGAGGCGTGTTCCTACGCGTGCTCTGGTTAACATTGCCAATGGAAAGCATCACAGCGGGGTACAGCGGCGGATCCGGTGACATGAGACAAGGCTGTTGACTGTTGTCATCACTCACCTTCAAGGGTTGTATTTTCTGCATGAGTCTGTCTGAAGAGGCTGTTTGTTCGTATGATGGAAAAGAGGACGGCTTCATTCTGGAGGAAGCAACTCCCCAAACTGTACCGAGATCGGCTTTCTGTGCTTTGATGCTTTCAATGGTACTCATCCATGCGAATAGACATTTTAATAAAACAAGTTTACTAATACTGCAGGGTGCAGAAATAAAGATATAAGGATTTAAGACCGTATAGTTGTTGGATCCTGGTCAGTGGCTTGGTTATGATTGGCCAGTCTGAGTTTGAGGGGTGGTACTAAGCAAATTGTTAATTAGGCTCAATAAAATGATTCTTTTATATTTGAATGTCCGGCCCCCACGGTGTCTGCTTCGGAAAAAATCCTGCCCCTTGGAACGATGTGGTTGATGACCCCTGTGGTCGATTAATGTCATTATTAAGACGTACCTTTGAGGTTGATGATAAAATGTAATGGCAACCAGGACACACATAAAGACATAAACACAACACACACACGGCATTATCTGTGTTTACCTTTAAAGGCGTTTGTGGCCGGTAAGTCAGTTTCCTGCATACTGCTCCTTCCCGCACTCTGCCAAGCTGCTGCCGATGCTGCGATGGATGCCAACGGACAAACCTCAACCGGTCCGAGCCACGGCCGCTGGGGGGAGGGAGGGTGGCCGAGAGGAAGGGGCGGCGCCTGCCGGTCTCACTGCCATCTTTCTTCATCAACAGTCCATGTGAGAGGGAACGGGAGGCCGCTGTCTGTCGAGCTCCGCAACGGGCGACCGTCGCTTCAGTCACTCTGGAGCTCTGAGAGCGGACCGGTTAACTAGTCCGTGTGATGATTGAACTGTCGTTTCTGCAGAGCAACGTGGTGATGGCCAAAAAGAAAGAGGAGCACTAAAGGAGGGGATGGAGGGGTTTGTGTAGGTTTTGAGACACTGATTCGGGTTAGGAGAGGACGGATGAAGGTGTAGGAAGTTGCAGCGTGGGTGTGGTTGATCCCTATCCTCCCAGCAGCAGTCCTGCAGCCACGGCCTGTAACATGAATTTTTGGCCCTCTCTCACTTTTTACAACGTGTCTTGCTGCAGGCTAATAATCTGTATACCTCTCAGTCTGCCTCTGTCTCCTTCACAGTCAGGTTTGTCTCCTAAACTCTCCTCTAATCAACACGCCGGCTCCTCCGACTCTCCGAGCTCTTTTGCTGGTGGTGGTGGTGGTGGTGGGTTTTCCTCTCTTTCTCCTCTTATGTCTTTTGTCCCGTTGCTGCTGCAGTCCCAGGCTCAGCACGAGTCTCCCTCACACTGGCACCACAGCTGGAGAGAGAGGGAAAAAAAACACAGACAAGAGGGGGAAACTCAATGAATAAAATCACGAGATACCAAAAAAACAACAGGCGAGACGGACATATGGATAGATATGCCCGAGCAAAAGCACGGGACAGGGCTGGTGGCTGGCCTGCAACGACCTGTTGAGAAAGGTGCGCAGAAACACACCGCTCATCCACAACCGCACATAATGCAGAGGGCCGCAGTGTGTCTCAGTTTGGATAGCAGGTGGCTGGCTGGCTGGTTGGCATAGTCCCCTTTAGATCCTCTCTCACCCACTAGGTTCATACATGAAAGGGAAAGTTTGGGTTTTTTTCCCTCAAAGCCAAGTGTTGCCTGTGACCCTATTTCACAGAGCCACATGTCAGCGTGCCACTTTTGAAGTCTGCCTGATAAACAGGGCTGGAGGAGGCTGCGGCTGAGGAAACAACAAAAACTTTATTTACAGTTAAAAAGTGCCAAGTGACGCTTTTTTATTTTTTGTTGTTGACTGGGGAATAGGAATATAATTGAAAAGAGAGGAGGGGGATGGGGGGGATCGGCGGAAAACAGGTTTTTGGTAAAAGGGACTCTTTTTGATGTCGTAGAGAACATACGAGATGAAACGAGGGTGTAGGAGACGTAGATCACATAGAAGGATGGAATGTGGCAGGGAGAGAGAGGCAGATGTGAGGGGGAAAAACAGAGTAAACAAGACAAACATCCTGTAGGAAGAGGAAAAACAAATAAGAGAAGAAAAAAAAAACAACGCGGGACGGGAGAAGGGAGGAAGGGAGGGAGGAAGGGAGGAATTTTTTGGTGTAACAAGAGCAGACAGACGGTAAACAAACACACGCCCTGTCTGAGGTTTTGGAACGGCTCGACAGATCTCAGTCAGCTACTCTTATCTCTGCTGCATTCGCCCGTTCTTATCGAGTCTTATCGCGGTGAGGACACGCGGCAGCTTGTGCCCTGACGAATGGAAAAGCAAAGGCGAGAGCCTGGGCTGCCGTGACACCCTGTTTACCTCATTTTGTGCCCTACCCATGAGTCATCATGTTGTCTGCTCCTGACCAATCCATAGCAGTCTGTTTAAAGTCCGTGGTGTATGAAATGGATTGAAATGATTTTCTTCTTTTTTTTTGGGGGGGGGGGGGGGGCTCAAGGAGAGGAGAAATTTAAGGAAAGGACATGAGATGAAAGAAAAGGAAGTCCAGGAGAGAAAAGGAGAAGAAAGGAGAGGAAAGGGAACAAGAGGAGAGGAGGCTACCACACTAATCGATTTCAGCGTTGGAGCAGAATTGTCACAGATTAAAGCTTGTGTTTGATATTGAGAGGAATCCGCGCAGAGATAAGTTTGACGATGCAGCAGTTTTTTGGTGCTATCAGGGCCGTCTATCTTCAAAGAGTCGCGTCATGAACTGAGTCTGTTCTACGAGTGACTTCACTTCCGTAAACTGAGTTTGGATGCTGAGCTATATCTGAAGAAACTCTGCATTTGGTGCTTGGGAACCTCAGGGTTCTGTTAGTGTTGATATCAGTTGTACTGTACAGTTGCAATGTGAGACATGAAAATGACAATGGACTTCCCCGTCGAGGGTCCCCAACATTATTGTCCGATGACGACATTCTTCAAACGTTGCTTTAAAAGAACAGTTCATCCCCAAATCAAAAATGACATGCTACATACAGACCTTGTTGTGAGCAGCTACAAGTAGGAACCATTATCTTTCAACCATAGTCTGTATATATAAAACTGCTCACAACACAGTCTGTGGATTATCTTGAGGAACTGGGTCATGATTTCTGGTTTATGTGGAGCTTTTTTTTTTAGGCGCTTTGAGCTCCACAAACTGGGTGCCACCATAATCCCATCATATTGTAGAGAAGGCAGACATCTCCTCAGTCGATTTCTCCAAAAATAGGCAACTCACACCAAAACAATGTAGACTGAAATATGTATTTTGAATTTTGGGGTGAACTCTCCTTCCTGTCTTTTCTAGTCAGGTCTGTTTGATTTGATACATTTTTGGGATAAATTGACAGTTTCTTCAATGGAGTCTGGGACATTCAGAGAGAACATGAATAAATGAACCAAGCAGGGCTTTGTTTAGATTGTTATAACTGTTTTACGCTCTGTGATAATGCATGACTTAGATAAACGGGTATGACAAGGATGCTTCTGCCCAACACATAGAATAACATTAGCTAACGTTAGCTAAAACCGTGTAAGTCATCAAATATGGAGAAACACGTTTGGGGAAAGCAATATATTCAGGTTTTTAGGAGTAGGAGATATAAAAAAAAATCCTATGTTAATATTGGCATATCAATACATAGAGTGACGTTAGTACATGTTAGTTAGTACATGTTAGTGCAGGATAATAACCAGGCAGGTACCCATGTCATCACATTGATGCAAAGATCAAAATCCAGTGTTAGCGCAGTCCTGCTCACTGTAACAGTGCCCACTAGAGTTCAGTGCAATCAGAGGAATTAAAGGGATGGCTGCTGCACTGCAGTATACAAATGATACTGCTGCCCCCCCCAGGACCAATCTAGAAACCACTAGGAACTCTTTCGAGGTGTGACCTCACGTGGCACTTCTGGCTGCAAAATTGGAGACAGCCAAAAACCAACATGGTGACACCCAAATGCCGAACTGGAGGCTTCAAAACCTTGGTCGGCTGACGCCACGGTGACTCTACGTCCACTTCTCATATACGGTCTATGATTACATACCTATGGACCAGCTGCCACACAACTGGAGCAGCTGACAAGAGTAAACTATTGATTCATGAAACGTAACAAGAAAAAGGGCAAAAGTCCCAGAATTGATTTGCCTCTTTATAATCTCTCGGCAGAGCATTTTCTATTAACTTATTCTTGTCAGAGTCAGAGCAACTAAGGCGCAGCTGTTCAGAAGCAAGAAGCAGAAATTAAAAAGTGGGATTTTTACAACGTGGGCATATTTCCAGTAGCTGATAACGACATTATTGTATAGTGTGTATTAAATCTGGATCACTCTATTCCGGTGGAGAAATTAAAACATCATATGCTCTATTCAGGAGTCCCAGAGTACAAACTTTATATCTGATTCTATTATAGTATAAATGTTATATTATTTGTGTCACATTAAATTCCATATAAAACGACTGCACTGCACAAACCCTCAATGGCTTTCCAGCTAGGATCATTCCTGTAAATAATGAACAATTTCTTCCAACCTGACACACACCTCTTTCTGTGGACTACCTGTAAGTCAGTCCAGCCTGACCCCGCTGTCTGTCTACAGGGTCATCTGGGGACCAGAACTACAACAACAACTACCACTACTACTACTGTCTGTCTGCCTGTCTGTCTGCCGGGTCATCTGAGGACAGCAAGTCGTCATGACAGGCTGTGTGTTTGCCGTCGGATGAAGAGAATCGAGGCTCCAGGTGGCTGTTTGTCGGCACTCTGGTTATTTAAGGACACCTCGCGGTTTACCCGTCTTATCTCTGGACCTGTCTGGCCGTAAGACTTCAAAGTCTGAACAATGCAGAGAGCGCAAAGGTCTGGAAAACACCACGGCAGCGGGGTGACATTTATATATGAAATACAAAAGGGAAAATGAAGCCTCTGCATTGTCTCTATCAAGGTCTTTCTTCTTTAACGTTTTTTTATGCTTTCCGTTAAGGTCATCAGCAATTGGTTAAGGTTCGAGAAAAATCATGACCATGAGCCTTTTTTCCCCTTTTTCTATGTCTAAGTAAGTAATGGGGACATTTCTTTTTAATTGGTCCAGTATTGAGGGAGAACGCTGCAGAAGGCAACCACTAAACGGGCTGCAATGTAATCTCTTGGCGCAACTCCACCAAGTATACAAATGTAATTTCTAGGAGACAGTTTATTTGGACAAAACTAACTCCATACTGTGCTGAATTACCATCTAATGACAGGTGATTAGATTAGCTAGATCACACACCAGACAACCTCCAGTTCTGCAAAGTGAAGCCAATGCTGAAGTGTCTTAAACCTGCATTCTCTCTAGTGTCCATCAGGGGGCGACTCCTCTGGTTGTATAGAAGTCTATGAGAAAATGACTCTACTTCTCTCTTAATTTATTACCTCAGTAAACATTATAAACATGAATTTATGGTCTCAATCTCTAGTTTCAAGTCTTCTTCAATACAGCATGATGTTCATTTAGTAAATTATGGTCCATTTAGAGTCACATAGACCATAAAGCAGAGTATGCTTTAGGGACCAGAGACGTATACTCTGTATCACTCCTCCCCATTCTGTTTAAAAAAACAACAACATGGCAATGATGGTAATCCAAGATGGCGACGGCAAAATCGCCGAACTTCAGGCTTCAAAACGTCAGTCCACAAACCAATGGGTGACATCACGATGACTACGTCCACTATACAGTCTATGGCACACATGGACAAAAAACTACACTGGTGATGCCTCAAAACCTCTTAAACATCATTGAAAAGTCCAGTGAGACAGGCAGGTGCACAAACAAATAGCAACCAAAGTATTTTTCTTGGCCATTCTAAAACAAGCTGATGATGTTTTATCTGAAGGTCTGTGACATGCACGGTAAGCTTCTGCGAATCCTCGCTATATACACAGTCTGTCTTTCTGCCTCAAAAGAATGAACTCCAATAATACAAGTAACACTGCACGGTGGCCTCGAGAGACTGAATTTCAACAAAGGGACGCACAAACCTTCAGAATTGATAGCTTTACCAGCTTCGGCCTTGCTGTTATGGAGCTGTACGTGACCTCTCTGACCTCCCAGGAGTTGGTAAAGGAAAGAGAGTTTCCATCATAGCATTATTAGTGTTGGAGTATGTTTCTGTGAGTAGTATCTGATTGTAACACATGAGGATAACCTCTTGACAGCCAGCTCCGACTCCTGTTCTGGGTCACACAGGGACATTTGCTTATCAGCAAGACAGCAGTCGGACAAACATGGATTGGGGAACAGACTATTAAACCAATGGGCTGGTCGCATC